AGAGATTTCTTCTCCATGTAAACACGTAACAGTAAGGCTGGCTGTGATCAGGACTCAAATGCCTTTTGTCTTCTGGATTCACCACCATGCATGAAGTATGTGGTTTCTGCATTCCTGTAGTTACCTCTGGGTTCAAGATGGCTCCTGCAGCTCTGGCCATCAAGACTGAGTTCCAGGCAGAGCGCAGGAAGAAGTGAGGGCTTTGGTACAGCCGAAAAGGAAAGCAAGAGAATCTCCCCACAGCTGAGTCAACTCCTACAAAGGCTTTCCCTGAAGCCCTTCCCACAACTTCCACCCACTGGTCACTCCTAGCTGCAAGAGATTCAGTAGAGGATGGGGTTTGGGGAGAATGAAAGAACCTATCTTGGTAAGGCAGCTGTCCCCAACAACAGAGAGCCCCCTTTGCTAAAGGAGAAAGGGGGTGTGAATATAATCGGCAACAGTGACTACAATGAGAGTGGGGGAAGTATCCACAGAAGAAAATTCTAGAAGTTAAGAAATGCCATATCCAGAGGTCTCTGCATGAACTAACCTGTCAAATCTTCACAGAACACTCTAAGGAATGCTATCTTCTTGTTAAAGCCAGGGAAAAGGAGGTTGGGGAAGAGGTGTGTTGTGTTCGCTTGCCCAAATCACACGGCCAGGAAAAAGTGAGTTCAGCCTCACTGGACCGTCAGAAGTTGAACCCACTGACTGACTAGGTGGATTCAGCCTCACTGTACAGTCTGAATGGCTACAGAGGGCAGGGGCTAACATGTGCCTTGTGCCAAGACTGTTCTAGATACCTGTGTGAACTAACTCATTACATCCTTAAGACACCAGTTCTGTGATTAACCCACTTAATCAAGGAATGGGAGGCACAGAGAAGTGAAATAACATACCTAGGCCACACAGCAGGAGTTAACAGGTTTGTTTCTGGGTGTTGGAATTGGATGCTTTTGATTTTATTGATAGCCCACACTATCTACACATCAAAAAGAAAACATCCCTTGGAGGTCCAGCCTCTTGCCTGCCCCCCAATCCTGAGGCCACAGGAGGCCTGGCCTCCCTCTGTAGCTTGCCTGTCTCCCCACGAGGTGGCTGCCCTCTGTCCCACAGTCATGGCTCCCCAGAGAACTCTGGCTCTCTTGGCTCCTGGCCTTTACTCCTCCAGCCCCTCCTGGCCTGCTCAGCCCCTCTTCCTGCCTGGCACATGGCTCATATGGCTCTAGGCCCTGGGTCACAATCTTGAATCCCTCAGCTTGCCTACACAGGGCAGGCAGCCTCTTTTTCTCTTTCACCCACTGCACTTTGCCTCATCCCCATAGCCGAGGGGCCTGTTTCATTCGTCAACAGACTTATCAAGGACTTTTTGGATGCCAGGACCTGGCAGGGACACCCACTCAATCATCCTCAAAACAACCTCTGTTGGCCTCACCCTGGCCTGAGAGGCCCCACAGAAACGACCCATCACCCTCTGTCCTCCTCTTCCAGGTCCAGCCCTCGCTACCTCCCTCCAGACTGCCTCGGGGCCTTTGCACATGCTGATCCTTCTGCCTGGGACACCCCCGAGAGGCCCCTCCCCAAGCACCTTCGACCATGTCCCATGTCCCTTATTTTTGCCAGGCTTTTATAGCCATCTGAGTACCAAATTGCTGTTGCTGGGGGTGGGGGTAGTCAGCAGCAGGGTCTTGTATAGCCCATGCTGGTCTGGAACTATGTAAGTAAGGATGACCTTGAACTCCTGATCCTCCTACCTCCACCTCCGAGTGCTGGGATGACAGGCCTGTGTTACCACAGCAGACTTTACCACATATTTTGTCAGTTCCCGTCTTGGGCCCGGACGGTGCTAGCTTGATGCTGGTTGTGTGGATGGACGCTGTTCACAAGAGAAGGCCAGGCCCAGAGTGGCCTAGTCTTTTGCAGAGGCCAGCAAAGGTCAAAGCTCAGAGCCACCCAGGTTCCAGCCCACCACCTCTTAGTCTCAGAGGATCTAGAGCTGTGAGCACCCATTCTCTGCCCCATGGTGAGGCTAGGCCAACAGTGGGGGGAGGGGCTGAACCTCCCACTGTTTGGGGCACCAACAGACCTAGGTTCAAACGCAGCTCTATCAACACTGATATACTGGTATTGGTATGGGCGCTTGCTGGTATTCCCTGGCTAACACACACTTTCCATTAATTTAAACTCAGCGGGGTTCCTGTTACTTACCACCGCTTCCAGCTTGGTTTCCATCCTGTTCAAATCCTGTGCCTTCAAATTACCCCATAATCTTGGATTTTTAAAACTATGAAAGCCTAATTGCTCTTTGAGAGCCTTGGATCCCCACACACTGTCAGAGTCGGCTCCTGAGTGTGGGCTCTGAGGACCCAGGAAGGGCTTAGTCACCAGCTCCTGGCCCACCTGCTTTGTTCAGCCCAGGGACCTCCATTGCCCAGATCGCACCCACAGCCAATGTCACCATCAACTCCCTTCAGGAGAGGTGGCCATCGGGACACCACTGGGATCCTTACAGGTCAGCAAGAATGGGATGGGGAGTCATAGAGGGCAGGTAAAGAGCCTTTGGAATCCCACCAAGGCCAGAAGTGAAATCTTTCCTTAGCCACTTGGAAGCTTGAAACATTGATCCAGCTTTGCTGTCCCCATGGGAAGGGGACAGGACCAGCACCTGGCTTACTAGGGTCTGAGGACAAATGACGGAAGCCCACAGCTCAGAGGCTAGTGTCCTAGACTCCCCACTCAGCCTCAGCCGGCCCAGAGGCCCTCAGAGACCTCCCTGCCCCACTTCTTTCAGAGTCCTTGACCCCACCTGTCATTACTCTGTTCCAGTGACTGAATATTTAAGTGTTCATCTTGATCACTATCAATACTAGTCAAAGAGCTGATACACAGCTGGTGCTCAATAAATGCTTGTCACATAAATGAAAAGTAACGGCAAATAAACAAACATCAAAGAGCTAACAACCAAACAAGTCTGAACAGGAGATGTGTGTATGGGGGACAGGAGGGGTTCCTTAGGTGTTGGAAGGAGCAGTTCCCTCTCCCATTCCTGCGCCAACTCCTGTCCTCCCTAGCTGTGTGATCTTAGACAAGTCACTTCCTTCTCTGAGCTTCTTTGCTAGGAAGAAAAATTCCAGTAACAGAAGCTGCAGCCTCCAGTTAGGCTGGTGAGCCAATGACAGTAGCGAGCAGTCTCCACGCAGGCCCAGCACCCACCACCTCCAGCCCTCTAATCTGACTCCTTTTTCTCCTAGGGAAAGTCAGTAGGTCATTGGTGGTGGTTGCACTGGACAGTGAAATGGGACTGTCCCATTCTGTCAACTTTCCTGTCCTGATCAGAGAAGCATAGGCAAGCTTTGGGCTCCCCACCTCCCGGTGAGCCTCCATGGTGAAATCCACAGCGGAAATGGGGCTGTGGGTAACATGGCTGACCTTCTCTGGCAGGGAGAAGGATCTGGCAGCCCACTGGTGCCTGGGTCCTGGAGAGCAGCAGCTTCATGGTTACCCTTCCAGCTGTCCTGGGCTCCCCAGCTCCCCGCCCTGTCTCCAGGCTTTGGTCCACCTGCTCCCTCCTCCCTGTCAGCCCTGAGCCCTAACAGCCTGCAGATCTGATCTGTGGGGTAAGTGTCACCCCATCAATGTCTCCCATGCACGGTGTTGGGCCACACAAAGCCTTCCACCCACCCACTGCCTTGCCCAGCCCGAGTCATCTGACAGGCTTGGGTCCAGAACCCCTTCCCTCTGCTTCCAAACTGTGTGAGTCACTCTACTCTGGAATTAGGGACCTGAACCTGGGGTCAGGATAGGAACCCTGTGAGGAGCCAAGGATTTGGGAAGGAGGAAAGGACTACAAACCAACTTCAGCCTCAAACTCCCTGAAGGCACAGAAAGCAGGTAGAGCCCCATTCCACCCTGAATTTCAATGGCCCCAAGTTACTTATGCTGAGAAATGGGTACAAGGCCAGCCCACCTGCACAGGTACATTAAGATTGGCATCCCTGGAAATATGCAGCCTCTCCCACCTCCCAGGTTCAGCCCAGGCTTGACTTTGGAGTGGTAAATCCTGGCAGTAGAGCTGACCTGCTGTCAGTGTTGACAGAGGCTACCAAGACACCGGGCTTGGGGCTGGACTGACCTGGGCTCCAGGGCCTACCTGGCCAGGTGTCTGTCCATCTGCTCAGGCCTCAAGGAGACCTAACCTGGGGACATAGGTCTGAGAGTCTGCACAAGCCACCTGCCACCTGAGCATTAAGGAGGTGGAGCAAGCCACAGTCGTCAGTCCTTTGACAGTGGGATACCAGGTATCTCTGTCCCACATACCAGGTTCCCACATAGAAAAGGAGGGAAAGCACCCCCAACTCTCAGGTTACAGTGCCAGCAGCTACTCCCAAGACCCCAGGCAAAGTCCTTGGCAAGCCCCTCTATGCTATCCCTTACCCAGAATTCCTCAGGGCAGGGTGACCATAGGAACCTGACAGCCATGAGCTGCCCACAGTAACAAACCCCATGTCACAGCGGTGCCCACCTCCCATGAGGCCTGAAGGAGATGTGGCAGGCCCGGAGCTTGCCAGACACTAGCCCCGGGCAGGCGCTCCAGCACACTACACAGCCAAATGCCAGGAGCCTCCCATCAAAACTAATAAGAACAAGCATTTTATATAATACCTCTGGTGTGCCAGGCACCAAGGGACACTGCGAATCCACTACTCTACTGACACTCACTTTCACTAATGCCGTCCCACTGTGCAGGGTGCAGTAAGTACTGCCCCCAGGAAATCAGCGTGCTGGTCCTGAGTTCAAGTCCCAGCACAGCCACCTTGAGCCAGCAGGTGAGGCTGGGCCTCCAAATCCCATTTGGGGCAGAGAGGGCAGTGGCTAGAGAGGAGGTTGGGCCCTTCCCCACCACCCTCCACCTGGCCCAACTCTCATCCAACTACACAAGGACACACAGACTCGCCCACACACCCACGCAGGCTCCCCTCTGTAGACTGAACACGAAGTACTTTCTACAAAGCACTTACCAAAAGAATCTACCCTGACTGGGGCTGACAGGGCCAAGACTCACAGCCCCTCCTACGAAATCACAGCCGGCCTGGTCCCCAAACATAGACTTCCGGCTCCTCCAAACATAAGTCTGACACTTGGGACCTACCCCAAGAGGCTGGCCCCCTCCCAAACAGGGCTTCTAGCCCGATCCCGGCACCCATGGGTGCTGAGTCACCCCGAAAGCCTGACCCAGTACTCTGCTCCTGAGGGTGGGGGTGGGCTAGCACCCCATCTGCCACGAGAGAATCAGAGGAGAGAAATCCCAGCTGCGACACCCCCACCCACCACCACACACAACCCCAAAATAACGGCAGACCCCCTACACACCAGAAACACACAAAAAAAAACAAAATCTCTCAGCAATCCAGTCTGGAGGGAAGAAGAAAAAAAAAATCAAAAGCCAACTACCGCCCCCAAAAGGCTTTTAAACATTCTCCAAAAAAAGTTTATTAAAAGTGTCTTCACTTTAATGCTCGAAACGGAAAGGTTCCCAAAATATACATACGCCTCTTTTCTCATAGAAATAGATTTTTTATATAATACAAAAAAATAATAAGACAAAAAAAAAACCGAAAAACCAAAAACATCAACATCTCGAAGCGGTGACTCGGCGGCCGGCTGACAGTTCAGTTGCACGCGTGTTGCGTCAGTCCCCGCGTCCACGCAGGCCCTGCGTTGCATCAACCCGGCGGTGGGGCCGGTGCAGGGGGTTCTGGGGGTGCATCCCGGTGCAGACATCCCGGTGCAGGCAGCCCGGTGCAAGGGGTGCGTCCCTCCCGCTGCACCCGCTGCACCCCGCGCTAGCAGTGTCCGGCCGAGGCCAGCAGCGGCTCGGGCAGCTGCTTGAACAAGTTCCGCAGCGTGCTGAGCTCGCGCGACAGCTGCTCCACCTTCTTCTGCAGCCGCTCGTTCTCCGCCGTGAGCTCCAGCACCTTGTGCTGCGTCTCCAGGTTGCGCATCTTGGCCTTGTCGCGGCTCTTGCGCACGGCAATGTTGTTGCGCTCGCGCCGGATCTTGTACTCGTCGCTGTGCTTGTCCACCGCCTTCTTGGCCTTGGGCTTGGCGGGCGCGGCGGCCGCGGGCCCCGGGAAGCAAGCGGCGGGCGGCGGCTTGGCGTCGGCCGGGCTCGGCGTGCCGGGTGGGCTGGACGACGACGACGTGGACAGGCTGCCGCTGCTGCCACTCGGCGCCGCCTGGTACCCCAGGTAGGCGCGCAGCGCGAACGGGAAGCCGGCCGCCATGGCGGGCGCGTCGTCCTTGCGCTTGCAGTCCGCGGGTTCGAATCCCGGCTCGGCCTTGAGCTCCGCGGGCGGCGGCGGTGGCGGTGGCGGCGGCGGGAAGCAGGCGGGGGGCGGCGCGGCCTTTGCGGCGCCGGGGCGGCCCAGGCTCACGTAGCCGTAGTCGGCCGCCGCCTTCTTGCCGGCCTTGGCGCCGTAGAGTGCGCGGCCGGCGGGCGCGGCGGCGGCGAAGGCGTCGGGCGGCGGCGGCTCCAGGTACGGGCTGAAGTCGATGGCGCGCTCGTGCTCGCCGATGGAGCCCGGCTCGGCGTGGGGCGCGCGCGGCGCGGCGCGGGCCGCCTTGGCCCCG